ACACACACACACACACACACACACACACACACAGCTTCAGTGACTTAACCTCACAAATGGTTGATTTTTCACCCACCTTCTGGCCTAGGCTGGCAGACCCACCTGGACATCTGCTTCCATAACCTCTAAAGCAGTCACAGAAGAACCTCCTGCCGGGACAGTCCCCTGGTCAGGGTGGCACAGGGCATTTCCATACGAGCTCAAGTGACTGCTGAGGTCATTCCGAGCTTTGGACAGGGGAGCTGAGTGCCATCCTACTGTGTTCGTGGGGTGAGAGGAAAGCAAGGCTGGGAACATCCCTAAGGACAGTCGTTCATTGTTCTTCTTTCCTACGGTGCGCGAAAGCATGTCATACTTCTCAAGGGACACTCCCTCGCAGGGAAAGCCACTTGTGGAAGGACAGGAGCCGAGCTGCCTCATTCACCGTGATGTTTTGAAATTACTTCTTTGAAAAGTAATTTCACGCAGTATTTTATAGGCGTAGAACATGGTTCCTGCAAATACAGCTCGATGCAGAGACCATCCGTTGTTTATGGAAAATGTGACCTCTGGTGGCTGTAACGGCATTGAGTCACACCTCAGCAGTACCTCTTTTGCCGGGAAACGGAGGACTGTCTGCAATTTCCCAACAAGTGCGCTGCCCGGATGAGAGGCGAAGGCTCACTTCCACGACACTGCGCTTGTCCGGGCCTGGTTCGGTTCTCGGGGATTCAAGGGAGACAGAGTTGTGAGTTTCCCAGTCTGTCTTGAGCTTCAGCTGCCGCCTGGGACCTGGGCAGTGTGTTGTACTGTCCCTTCCAGAAAGGTCAGTTCAGGAGTTTCTGTTTTCATCACAGGAACAAGTATGCCTTAGCAGCCTGGAGGATTTAGTTACCTGACAGCATAAAGGGCATGGCCTTGACACAGGAAGGCTTTGCACTGGCTTGCCACCCTCCTGGGCATGCGTCCATTCACTTTCCGTTTGTAAAGTGATTTCCTGTTTTGCATTTTTGCCACTGGCCTGTCAGTAATCTCTCTGCTTTGAAATTCCTTCCAAAAGCGCTTCCTTGGTGATAAGGAAGGTCATGGCTGAGGACTAGGAACATCTCACTCTGAGTTGTTTCTCAGGACGGTAGAGGTCACGCCTGTGATATTCAGTGCTGAATCCCCGCTGTATGGGATTCATCCTTGAACATGGTGCATGGACATTGTCAAATGACCGAGGAAACACGTTGGACTCACCCATGGGGCAGGTTCCTATCTTACTTACTGCTGTGATTCAAGTGGGAATTGTCCCCCACAGGTTCTTGTGTTTGACCCCATGCTGGAAGCCCTGTTTTAGGAAGCTACGGAACCTTCATTAGGTGGGACCTTGAGTATGGAAGTAGGTCATTAAGAGTGAGCCTTTGAGGGCAGTGATGGGGGAATGTCTTTTTGTATGCTGTGAAAATATGTTGCTCTGATTGGCTGATAATAAAGCTGTTTGGCCATTAGCTCAGGCTTATTACTGACTAGCTCTTACACTTAAATTAACCCATAATTCTTATCTGTGTTTAGCCACATGGCTTGGTACCTTTTCTCAGTTCTGCCTTGTCATCTTGCTTCCTCTGTGTCTGGCTGGTGATTCCTGACTTCAGCCTTCCTCTTCCCAGAATTCTCCTTGTCTGCTTATCCCACCTATACTTTCTGCCTGGCAACTGGCCAATCAGCATTTTATTTATCTACCACTGGGAGCAACACATTCACAGCATGCAGAGCACCAATACCCATCATTTCCCCTTTTCTTTCTATTTAAAAGGGAAGTTTTAACTTTAACATAGTAAAGGGGTTAATTTAAATGTAAGATCTAGCTAGGGAGAAGCCTGAGCCAACAGGCCATACAGTTCATAATCAATATAAGCCTCTGTATGTTTATATGCTTCTGGGTTAGGGGCCATGTGAACAAGCCATTGATTCACGCCATCACCACAGACCTCCGTTATGCCTTTCATGCCTTGGTGGACTGTGAGCCAAAAAATCTTTCCTCCTTAACAGTTATGTTGGTCAAAGCAATGAGAATAGTAACTAACACACTTACTTTTGACCAATGGCAAAAGCCTGTAAGGCACTAGACTGAAATGAGAGACATAAAGACCTTTGCCACATTCGACTAAGTGAATGAGTCTATAGTTTCAGTTTCCAGTTAGTTTATTTGCTAAGTTGTTTACATCTCCTACCCATCCCTATTCACACCCATCTTTCCAGCAAATTTAGCTGTTGGCTCTTCTCGGAATGGGCATGCTCCTTGTTATGAGTTGAACTGCAACTCTTCAAAATGACAAGTCAAAATCCTAGTACTTCAGAGTGTGGCCTTCCTGGGGAGCAGGGTCATTGTAGATGTTAAAATGAAGTCATTCTGGATTAGAGTGGTCTCTAAGTCAAGTGTGGTTTGTAAAGAGCAACACATAAAGAATAGATCACGTGACAATCGATGGGCAGTTGGAGATGCATGCTAGGGAATGCTAAAGACGGCCAGGAAATCACCAGTAGCTAGAAGAGGCAATGAAGGATTTCCTGCTACCGGTGATAAAGGAGCCCAGTTTTACCTACACCTTGATGTTGGGGTTCTAGCTGCCAGGACGGAGGTGGTATATTTCTGTTGCTCAAAGCTGTTCAGTTGGTGCTGTTAGCACTCTTAGAACAGTGACGCTCCTCGTCCACACAAGCCCTGCTTCCTGCATTTGCCCACCCCCAGGGTCCATCAGAGAACTTCTCCATCAGGATACACTGAGTATGTCTCTTCTTGGAGTAGAACTTCTAAGTTCAGTTCCAAGTAGTAGGCTGGCTGGTCCCTGTAGCCAAAAGTTTTCCCCAGTTCCTCCTGGCCCTAGGGACTCACAGCCGCTTATAAAATAATCACTCAGGAGCTTATATTAATTACCAATTGCATGGCCCATGGCAGGCTTCTTGCTAGCTAGCTCTTATAACTTAAATTAACCCATTTCTATTCATCTATGTTTTGCCATGTGTTCCGGGCTTTACCGGTCTGCTGGCATCTTGTTCCTTGGGCAGCAGGCTGGGGTCTCTTCCACCTCTGCCTTTCTCTTCCTATCTATCTGCTTGGATTTCCACCTGCCTCTAAGCTGCCTTGCCATAGGCCAATGCAGCTTTATTTATCAACCATTCAGAGCAACACATATTCACAGCGTACAGAAAGACATCATCACCTTTTGCCTTCTGCTGTGCCTGTGTCTACTAGGAGGCAAGAGGAGGGTAAACAGGCAGGGGATTCTAAAGGGATTGACAGGAAGAGATCAATGGTTAATTATAGGAAATAAAATGAGCATTAGAGGAACACGAGACCCGATCGCTCATCAGGGACATGAGACCCAATAGGAGAACAAGGAGAGGGCACCGAGAACAGAAGAATAGGTGACAGGAAGCATGAGGGCTGGGAAGGGCTGCACCCTGGTTAGCAGAGACCATTCCTAGACTTCCTGGCAACCAAGCCTCCCCCACATGCCTATGAGGTAACAGTGAAAACGCCGGTGCAGTGGGAACAACGGATAATTAAAGCCAGAACCATAAGTGGGCTGGCAGTTGCCTTTGATTGCAAAGGAGGTCTGGGAAGGAATGCCGGGAAGGTTATGCCAGGGAGAATGACGTCATGAGGAAAGGCTTCGAGCGAGCAAAGTGGGAAAAGCAAGTCTTTGTTAGAATGCGCTTGGACAAAAAGGAAGTGAAAGAAAGAAAGGGAAGAGGAAGAGGGAAAGGAGGCAAGAAAGAGGTCTTCCTCGGGGCCCTGATTCTCTCATGGCCTTTGGTTTTCATTGATTGGAGGATAAATTATGCATGATGGTCTCCACTGGCATTCGGACCCGGTCGGCGGTGAGAAATGATGGACGTCCCGGTGACCCGCGTCATTTGTTTGGGGTCAGAACAATTGTCACGGCCTGTTGCTTAGATTGCTTTCACCATCCCTACCACCAGTTAGAGGGCTGAGCCTGGCTCCCGGGAGGGGTGACTGTTGAGATTCCAGCACAGAGCTCCAGTGGAGCCTGTCCCTGGGAGCTTTAGTCACCTCTGCCGGAAGAGCAGTGAGGAGCAGTCGATTCAAAGAAGAGAAGAGACAGACCAGACACCCATGGGGTCCCCGGGAGACGGGAGGCAGAGAAGAGGTGGGTTTGCTGAGGGAAAGGAATAAAAAGCAAGGCTTGAACCGAGCCCGCCAGCGCCGCGGAAGGCTGTAAGGAAGGCTGGTGTTGTGGGAATTTAGCAGAGTGGCTGTATCTGGGATAGACGTCAGAATGAATCGTTTTCTAGAAGTACTTTGACCTTGAAGAATCACTGTGATAAACAATAGGGAATCTTCATGGAAAACAGCGGTTGTTTTCCGTGACTGGTAGAATTGTTTTTCTGAAGGGGTGTCGCAGGCTTCGCCTGACTTTGGTCACAAGACGCCTGTGGCACATCTGAGGCTCTTGGGTTGATGTGTCCTGCAAAGGATACACGGTAAAGGACCAGAGTCATGAGGGCATGTGATGCTTTCCTTTAGAGAGACATGTAGATTAGATGAGGGATCCTGGTATGAGGAAATACTTTACCCAAAAAAACAACTTTGTGTAACAATCAGTAAATACACCTTTGTGTGGCTGTTCAGGGTTCAGTTCATCAGAGGCTGGACCTTCCTGCTGCCACAGACAGGCCTTAGAACTTCAGCTTGGAGTGACTGAAGCAACACAGAACCCCTGGACAGGCTGGGCCGGGCAACAACACAGGCCCTGTGAGTGAGCAGAGCGGTCGGGCAGGTAAGAACAGGTGAATGAACATAGCCACTGGACAACCACGGGCTCTGAGCACCCGCACTTAGGCCCCCAAAATTTGAGGGCAGGAAGAACTTTTGACCACTCCGGAAAGTATTCAAGTGATAATTTGTTGGCATTTATGTTTATCTTCTGGTTTTCTAAACATAAATTTCACAGTCTCCATGTTTCTCTCTGCCTAGAGTGCCACAGGTTTTTGTCTAGCCCTAGAAGTTTGGGGTAGAGAAAAATCAGGGGTTTTGTCCAAAGGGGGGTTGGGGTCCCTTCCAAAACATAAAGAAGTTAAGGTGTAGAGTCAAAATTGGGGGAGGGGAAGAGGAGAAAGTGGGGGGCCTCAGAAGGACAGATACTCTCAGGTGAACAGGTGGGAGGTGGTCTGAAGACATTCTAGAAACTTCAGACAGGTTTCTGCACTTGTGGAGTTTATAGGAGAGAGAAGGCCAAAGGTCAAAAGGGAGCCAAGAGTGAGGTAGGTGGTGGCCGGAGTGGCTGGGGCTCGACTCAGTGAGTGAGTTCTCCGGTGAGTGTTTGGGCAGCCAGTCAGGGGCGGTCATTGCAGCCGGAGCAGAATGTTTGGAAAACCGTAGAAACCGTCCCATCTGGAGCCACATAATGTTTATGCTGCTGTCCATTTGCATTCCGCCTGTATCGGAGGCTGGGGACCTGAGGACCCCTCCAGCGCACAAAGCCACAGCGGACAGTGCTGCTGGCCTTACCAACATGTTGGGCGCAGACTAATGAGAACGTGCTACAGAAACTCCAGGTGAGTCAGTGAATGAAACCAGAAGTGATAAACGGCTCCTGGGCAGAGAGCCCAAGACAGCCTTTCTGTCCACTTCCAGCCCTGCGTTGATTAGCTCAGTAAAGACAGCATCTGGGGCTTTTTCCTTTCTACCTGTGATGGCTGTGAATGGGGGGGGGGGGCTCCATTTCCCTTCAGAGGCCTCTCGCCTTGGCCGGTCTCCCGTGCATCCATCCATCACTCCCAGCTTTCAAAGGCTGCTTCCTGCTCTATCTCTTCCCTCCCACTTGAGACGCAGGCAAAGCCCAGACCTCGCCTGTCTCCTCTCTGTCGTAAAGCACCACTAACACAAAGCAGTTGTACATAACAGACTTTTCCGAAGATGTTGTGGCTAATGAGAACAGACAGAGCTATTATTGCCGAGAGCAGGAAATAATTCCACGTTTAACATCAGATGTTATTGTTCCTAGAAATGCGTTGGCTAGTCCTTCTGTGGAGAATCTCTGCCTGCTTGTGTCCCTCCTTGGCATCCCCAGGGCACTGTGAAGCCAAGGTTGTCTAAAAAGAGATCAAAAAATATCCCATCTGTCTATATGGATGGAGCTACTATTTATCAGGAGCCGAAGACTGTACTAACCACTTACAATACCTCACTTAATGTTCTCTGTGCAGTTCCCCGTGGGAGACGTTTCTTTGTCTTCAGGGACCTGAGGCTCAGGAACTGAGGCGGAGCTGGGATCTGAACCCTGTTCCTGCTGCTCCAAGCCCTTGTTTCTAATTGCTATGCCGCTGCCCTGTAATCTCCGGATAGTCAGGATTCAGAGCTCTTGCTTACCCCTTAACTCAGCAAAGTTTCCTGTGGAGTCAGGCAAAAATGCCCCTAACATTTTCTCCCATGCAATTGAATCCTTTGCTCTGGCAAATCCCCACCCCCACGCCCACCCCGAGAGACTTTCACATGGGCTCTGATCTTCCCAGAGGCGTCGGTCTCACTGACTCTCCAGATAACATTTCACTGTCTCTGTCCCTTCTCTCCTTTCTCCTGCTCTGTCAGCTGCCTAAGGAAAGAGCCTTCTTTCACACTAGGAGCTGGAATCTGTTTGTTCCACTCCCTTTTTGAAGCAGATGAACCCATAAAGCAACAACAGGCCATTTGACCCCACACTGAATCTCTCAGGTATTTCTCCCGCTTGGGGCGGGGTGTGGGGGCTCCCCCAGCTGAAGCTGTATATTCTTCCTCTTATCTTCTTGACCTTCTTTCTCAAAGCTGGGTTTGACATTCCATTAAGCAGGACAGCCTGCCTTTCTGAGTTCTCATAATTGTAAATTATGTCTTTGCCATTGGCTGGGATAATAGCCCCAGATAAGAAGGAGCAGACATTCAAATAGAGTGCTGTGGTCCTCTTGTATGACCTTGGCTCTGAGAGACGCTAGCAAGAACCCAGTCTGTATAAACCTGAGGGAAGAAATGACAGCTTTGTTGTCCTGAGGAACATACAGTCCTATCTCTAAGCACTGGGAGACAATGAGTCACAAACTAGTGAGCAGAGTTTGGGGGTGGGGGTACCTATTT